AGTCCCTTTTTCAGCCTTTTGTAGCACACAATTGATGTTATTCCTCTGCAATCAATTATTATGAGAATGGATACTTGTTTTTATTATTGAAATGACCAAATTCATCTTTTGCATAAAGCAATAAACACACATAAATGATGCCTAGTCCCCTCCTAGGAGAGAATCCCATAGCTTTAGCTTAAAAGTTGTCAAATTTTTTTATATGGGATTTTTTTTTTTTATTCATAAAGTTAATAATTATTATATGTATAGGATCATACTAATTTAATTTTAGTAATTTCTGATTTTCTGACTTAGAAAATATTCACAAATGCTAGAGCTAGGCCGTCGAATTGTTAAATAGTCATATTTAACAAAGTACACATATACGTACTGTGAAACGTTATATTTTTATTTATTGAATTTTAAAGTATGATATTTTGCGCGTGAAAGTATGTAAATATAATAAATAAGTATGAATATTAAAAATTGAATTACAAAAATACATGACATGATTTGGATGTAGATAATGCAAAAAGATGAGCAAATTTACAAGCATATATTATATTAATATGTGTAGAAGCATCATAAAAAAGGGTTGGGGGGATTGAAGTTGGAGAGGTCAACCAAACAACATTATTATTGACATTATAAAAGAACAAAAAAAAAATGAATGATAAGAGTAATTACAATGATCAATAAAGAAAAAAGTTAGACATGCACAAGGATAATACTTAAAATTTCACAATTATTATTATCTCCCTCTTTTCAATTGGGCTATAAATCAAAGCACTTTTGGGGCTAGAAGAGAGTTTAGGGTTTTGCTAGGGTAGTTGCTTTTGTTCTTAGGTGGAGGCCCACTTTCAAGATTCCTCCCCACTATTGATGGCCCATTTGCCATTTTCTAATTTCCTACACTCCTAAATTTGGGTAGTTTAAAAATTGTACTCCCACCATTGTGCAAAAGTAAATTTATTAACCATTAATGCAATTTAAAAAATTTTAGTAATTATTATTATTATTACTATTTAGAAAGTAAATGAACTACTAGTATCTTTTAATCTATAAATATATAATTTGGCAAGACAAGCATTTAATTTTATTGTGATGCATTAAATTTTATTCTCCCTCCAATTTTTTTAGCATTCAATTTCATTTTTAAGTTACA